TACGTATATCGATAATCATCTATAGTTTAAGACGAGAAAACGCAGCTCGCCATCATTAACATATAACCAATAAACGGAAGAGCTTTGCGCGAGGTGTGAAGAAAAGTTTTTACTTATTTCAATTTCAGGAAGTGTGTGCTTACTTTACAGCTTATTTTACTTTTTAGAAGTTTTGGAACTACGTAATTTTCTTACCTTCTGTAAGGTCTATCGTGAAGACAACAAGCAAGCAGTAAAAGATACAACGGTTCTTCCAAGACATGTTAGAAATTATCTGCCTATGCTCGTTCGCAGTTACTTCTGACATCTAACCCGGCCTTCTCTCATCTTTTTAATATGCGCTTATAATCGCTGTGGTTAAGAAGAGAAGGGGAAGACTGAGGAGAGTAGRCATGCGGAAAGAGAAAGGAGAAAAACAACCTCGTCCCCAGGATCCTCTCGGCCGACTCCGATTCAATATGGTGGTCGTCGTGAAGAAGACCCTGGTTTTGGCTGGGATCACGTAATCAAAATCTCCAAGATTTCTAGAGATTTTGATCACGTGATCATCGAAACAAAATGGCTGCTTTTCACGTGACCATCAAAACAATATGACTGCTTGGGGATCAGAGACGAAGATGCTGATTTTAACTGAGGTTTTTGGAGCTACAGTATACTATCTAAACTAGAGTTATGCGTGCATTTCATCTAATGGGAGTTTCGAGGACAAAAAATCTATTACTTAAAGCGACCTTGAGGCCACAAAGTACTACTTTGTCATCACAACTGAGAATAGAGAAATGATAAATAGCGAAAAAGCTTGGTTATGTACTATTCAACGGTTTCGTCTTTAGTTTTTTTGCCCCTCCATTTGCTACTGCTAGTGTTTTACTTCAGAAACCTGCGAACACCAAGTCAGATGGAAAAGAAAATGGTTGAGAATGAAGTGAGTATGAATACACCCCTCCCCCTGGTGAGATAGCCCATCGTCAGTCATCGAGGTATGATCACTCATGGTGTTGAATTGAAAGGAAGGATGAAAGACAATCAACAAAAAATATCAACAACAAAATACATACTTCGCAAGCCATCTTAGTGTYAGTGTTCCCGTGCCGTGCACGTGCTGGTTTGTGAGGATTGTCAAGATTCTCGACACGAACTATGATTTATAAAATACATACGTCGCAAGCCACTAGTGTCAGTGTTACCTTGCCGTGCCGTGTACGTGCTGTTAGTAGGATTGTCACGATTCTCAACACGAACTATGATTTAGGGCAAATAAAACACATACGT